CGTGGGCAAAACCTGCCTGGCTCGGTGCTCCGAAGGTACGTCTTTCCCGGAGGACCTGGGGTTCTTCCACTTCGCAAACGCCAGCAAGCAAAGATTCTTTTTTTTTTTTTTTTCCAGATTGACACTTTTGTGCAGTTGGCAGAACAAAGAAATAAATAAAGACATACATGCGTGGAAAGCTTTCCTTTTCCTCTGTGTTCTCTGCAGGCTACGATTTTGGGTGCTGTAGGATTTGTATATGCGAGTGTCTATCACACCCACACATTTATATACGCGCACGTATACACAGGCGTGCATGTATATATATACATTTGTATGTTTGTATATAACTAGCATGTATTTGGGGGCATGACCCAGCTTCAGGCAGCTTATCTAATGAGAACGTCCTGTCTTGCACACCGATTTTTCAAAGGTTTACTGTATCTTGTCACCCGTTTGTAAAACTCGTACAATGATTTGAACACATGTGTGGTTAAACCATCGGACCCAGAGCAGCTCCTAGATTATTCGTAATTAAACACAATTCCCAAAGTAACATTTATCTTCCGAAACTGCGATTGCAATTGTCAACCGTCTGGAGGAGACGCGGGGTAATCTGGAAGTATTACCTCCTCTCCTAACGGAGCAGAATGAAAAGAAATCAATACCGCTGAGGAGAAGAATTTAGTAGTTTTTAACTGTAAGTGGTGCCTGGGAGAAAGTGATATATAATAGGAAAAACAGAAAGCGGCTTAAACAAATCTGTTCTAGGGAGGACCGCAGGGACCGGCTCCGCAGCCGCCGGCGGGGGCTCCGCGCTCTGCCCCGCCCGGCTACCGGCGCGCCCAGCCCGGGAGCTCGCTCTCCCCTCCGGCGCCTCCCGGTACTTACATGACCGCCTAGGAACCGCCGATGCGTGCACAGCGATAACATTTCGGGGGGGCGAGGGGGCGGGGGGGGGCAGGGAAGAAAGGGGAGAAGAAGGAGGAGATGCGGATCGGATCTGGGCGCACACAGGCAGTGTAAACAGGGTGGGTGTGAAGGTGCCTCTTCCTCTCCCTCCCCAGGCACGCACACAGCAGCATGTGCACGGCGTCTTCCAGGGCTAATCTAATTACAGGGACCTTTCAGAGGCGCAGCCAGCTTGCTTGCCTTTTTTTTTTTTTTTTTTTTACGCGGGCCCAGACAAATAAATAAATAAATGCCGAAAGACACCGATGTGAATCCCCTCCGCCGGCTGCGAGGAGGCAGGTCGGCGTGTGCCCTCGCCAAAGTGGCTCAGCGAGGAGCCCGGGCTCTGTCGGGCATCTCCGCGCTGGCTGCGCGGGGGAGCAGCCAGGCCGCGCAACGCTGCGCGCTGCGCCGCGGCCGGGCTAGGAAAGGCGGGGCGGGCAGCTGGACGGGGAGCCCGGCAGGGTTAGCGGGTACCTGGAACGGACACGTTTGCACTGATGGAAGAAATAACGGGTGTAACCTGCGTAGCTACAGATGCAGGCAGTCGCGCACACGCACCGTCTGCTGCTGCCGAGCTGCGCCGGGTGCCCGACCGGGAGCCCCGGTCAACGAAACTACCCAGTGAGGCAGTGGGAAAAACCGTCCCAGGTAAACCACAGCAATGCAGAGGTGCGAATGGAGGTTAAAGAACGACATTAATCATCCCCTTTGCTCAGTGACCGCCAGGCATCGCGCGCTCCTTTCTGGCTGGCAAGCTGGTTTGTTTCATTTGCGTGCTATTCCCCTTCTTCCTCTCCCTGCCCGAGCCGAGCCCTGCCGCGCTCGCAGAGTTGGTTGTCACCCCTCGGTAAATCTTCCAGGTGAAGGTGGAGGGCGGAGGGGCCACCTCCTGGCCCCCACCTCCCCAGGGGCAGCGGGCGCGGGGCGGTGGGGCAGACCCGGGGGGGAACGCAGCGGCTTCCAGCGCACGGAGCCCGGCGAGGGCAAGGGCCCCTGGCCAGGGGCTTTTCTCCGTGCAGACCGCGGGAGCGGAGCTGGGAGCCGCTGGGCGTAGAGGAGCCAAGGCTTCGTCCTCCCTGGACGCTTGCAAGGCGGCGGAGCGGAGCGGTGCAGCCGGGAAGGCATGAGGTGGGTCAGGCTCTAACGCGTGTGCCCGTAAATTGGCGCAAGGGTGACACGAAAGGCGCTCCCTGGCTAATACTGACATTCAACATACGGCGTGGTGAGCCGCCGGTTTAATCTTTCCAGCTACGCCTTTTCAAATAGCACGGACCTCTGTTTCTCCAAAGAGAAGTCTCCCCCCTGCACCCCGGTAGAGCTGTCTGTAGGCAGGCAGGGAGCCCTGGTACAGCGGTCTATCCATCTCTCTGTCTGCTCGCCGGCCGCTGCGCGGAGGGTCCGCGTTTTCTCCGAGGAAAATCCGCCCCCCCCTCCCCCCGGAAAGGTTAGCGACAGCTATCCTTGTGGCTAAAGTTCCGAGATTGCTAGTGTATATTGTAGACACAAGATGTTAGGTAGACTTGAGCAAGTTGTTCCCAGGATGTAAATTAGGTCCCAAAAGCTGTTGTCCAAATCGAAGAAACAGAGAAATTAATCTGGGAGACTATCCATCATAGCCTGTAATAAAGGGAGCGACATGGATGAGACAGATGATATGATTAAGGAGCTGTGGTCGTTTTAATTAACTTTTTGCTGTCCTGTAATGATCAAACTGGTCAACAGACCCGGTCAATAAGCATGTTAATATCAAACAAATAAAACCAGGGATGATTAAAAACCTCCTGGTTTATTAAATTTGAAATTCAAATGAAATTTATGCTGCAGATGCATACAGAATGCTAATAGATTTTAGCTTTATTGAGAGTGGATCCCACAGGTTTTCAAGAAACAGCACGAACATTTATCTACTCCCGTACATTAAACTTCAGATGAAAAAAAAAAAAAGTTTTAATTAATTTCGGGAAAACCTCTCCTTGCTGGCTGCCCCCCCGCCCCCACCTGCATATTATGTTGATGTACTGCACCCTTAAGTGCAGTGGTCAATAACGCAAATGCAAACAAAATTGTAAGCTTCCTTAAATCCTTTGCCCAGCAGGCAATGTATACAAAGGGGGAAGGTTACGGATTCTTCCGTGGCGAATTCAGAAAAGATCAGCTCACCGCTCTCAAAGTTCAGAAGCTGCTGCTTTTCCAGTTTCAGGGAAATTATCAGAGTAGCAGGAGGATGCCACTGACAGAAGTTTTGTGATTTCTATTCGGTTCTGATGTATTTGCCTTTTTTCCTCCCTCTCTGCTGAGTTCCCTCGTAAAGACTCCCACGACTATTTTTACAACGAGTTTTTCACAATTTCCAACACGGTGCTTTTAAAGGAAAAGCGCGCTGAAAATTAAGGACTTTCGGCCCCAAATCAAGAGAGTCAGGGCAGGCGTCGGAACAAACAAACGCGAAAAAGATCAAGAAAGGACACGTTTCCTCTGGGCAGACAAGTGCGGACAAAATACGGATGCGACTGGAAGACCCACCCGGCGAGGCTCTCCTAAAAAGAGATACATCACTAACGCCTTCTCCTTCCCCGGTGGATGGCAAAGTCTCTCAGACTTTCTGGGGCTGAAAGGAATGCGTGTCGATCTTTTTACCTAACCTGGCACACCACAAAACGCGATTTTCTGTTCCTCTAAAATATAATGCTCACCATGCTTGTTTTGCTCTTACGCTTTCTGATCTATGTCTTAATAGTTCCTCCCCACCTCCAGCAGATAAAGGAAGTAGAGATAAAAAGTTAATAAGCATTCATACAAGGGAGTATCTCCGGGAAACGTTCTTCCCCTCTTCGCGGGTGATAGTATTGATTAAATTAAACCCGAAATTTAAACAAGTGTGCATTAGGTCTGTAAAATGAATATCATTATAGAAGGAGACCAAAGCAATGAAGTTAATTCTTTTTTATTTGTTAAACGGAGTTCCCTCCTTCCCCCACCCCTTCCTCCTTCTGGGCTGGCCTGTCACGCCTTCTCAACAGGCTAAAATCATTCAGAGCAGCTCGCGGAGAGAAACGCGACATTTATGGTAACCGTCAGCCTTCAGAGAATGAAAGCAGTTCATTAATTTACTTCACTCTTACTTCAAAGTATGATAATGTACGTTACCCCCTTGATCAATAGATATGATGTACAGTCAATATCCCCACGACACGGAAACGGGTCAAAACCGAGGCCGAGAGAAGGAGAAAAAAACCAGCCCCCACGAAGCAAAGGTCCGCGAGGAGCTTGCTGCGGAAAACCCGCGGGGGTGAGAGCACCTGGGCGAGCGGGGCCGGACCGGGGCTGCCCCCGACGCCCCCCGCCTCCCTCCCCCGCCCCGGGGCCGGCCTGCACCGCCTCTGCCCTTCCCCGCAGCCCCCCTCCCGGGGCCGGGCGAGGAGCCGAGGGGAGCGAAGCGAGCATCTCCGACCCCAGGCTGCTCCGGGACGAGGCGGCGAGGGCCGCCCGGCTGTGCCAGCCCGGCTGTGCCGGTACCGCTCGGGTGGGCTTCTCCGGGGACGCGCTGCGGAAAGCTCCTCCGCGTACCTCCAGCCCGGGCACCGCTCCCGGGGCGGTTTGTGGGACCCCGGAGCCAAGAATCACGCCTGAAACGGCGGGTCTGGGGGGGCTGTGGGCGGGTGGGGGAGCAGCCAGCAGTCGCCTGAAGTGTTCCCCCCGCTTGCTGCCAGAAGTACCGAAAGAAAAGGGAGGGGGAGGACCGCGCAGAGGGGGAGCGGGGTGCGGGGAGCCCGCACCCGCCCATCCTTGCGGTAATAATAGTAACGCTGAGACGATGGTGGTGTAAAAATCCAAACAAATGTAAACCGCTCAGAAAAATAACCTGTTGTCAGATTACGCGCACGGGGGGGGGGGTGGTGGTGTTGATGGAAAGGGGCGGCCGGGAAGAAGCAGCCCGGCGAGGGGCCCCTGCGGACCGGGACCGGGACCGGGACCGGGACCGGGACCGTGGCCCGCGCCGCTCGACGACGTGACTGCGTGAGGTCATCAGCGCCGCCGGCCCCCGCCGGCGGGGCTCGACGGCGCTGATGACCTCACGCAGTCACGTCGTCGAGCGAGGCGGCGGGAGCGGGGATTGGCTGGCGGCGGCTCAGCGGCACTTCAAAGCCGGCGAGGGAGCTACAATTGTGGTGGAATGGGCGGAACTGATCATTGTATTGCACACCTCTAAAAAAAACACTGCCTCTGATTTATCAATATAAAAAAGATCCTCTGAGAGGAGGGCACTTTTGTGTGATGGCAACTTCACTTCTAGGGGTGAGTCTAAGGATTTTTTCTCTTGCTGGTTTAATTGGTTTCTTTTTATTGTCGATTGGAGGGGGTTAAAATAACCCCTGTCTTGACCGGGGCTATCAGTCTCCTCTATTCAGCCTTTTTTTTTTTTTTTTTTTAACTTAAGTACAAGTGAGTTTAGGAGAAAAGAAAGAGCGAGAGGGGGAAAAGGGGGCAGAGTCACTTTTCAGTGAGCAGGAAAAGGTTTTAAGGGCATTTGTAGAAACAACCTACAGCGCCCGGGCTGTGCTGTTCCTGTGCCCCCGGAGAAGTGGCCTTTCTTCTTTACATGTGACTGCTGGAAGGAAAAAAAACCCCAACCCAACCCAACCCCAGCACTATCGTTTTTCGTGTGCAATTTCTAATTTGCAACAGATTGTGGCTTTTTATTTCCCTTTAAAATAACACAGCCCGCCGCGTCCAGCAGGTACGTTGAACTTGTGTATACATACATATGTACATATGTTAAATTTATATATATATTTAATTATCGTTGGTACGTAATTGAGGCTTATTTTAAGGAAGCTTTTATCTTTTTAAAGGAGTAATTTGATGATCCTGCAATTCTATATTTAAGAAAAGAGTCTTACTGGCCCGAGGGACGGGGAACGGCCAGGTCCCGGGGAAAGGGAACAGGCTGAAACGTAGCTGCCGCCGTGCCGGGGGCATCTTTAAAGCTACGGTAACAGGCGGAACTTTTTCCCCCTCTCTTTTTTTGCCCCCCTTTTTTAACCCTTCCCGAGCTCCTCCGTGGGAGGAGGGGTGGCTGGTGAAAGAAAGCCCCGGAAGGCGCTTGGAGGCAGAGCCGCGGCGCCGGCTCCGGCGAAGGGATCGTCCCGCGGGAGTGGCGAAACTTTGCGCCCGGGGCCGGGCGGCGGAGCGG